ACTTATAATAAGGTCATAATAGTATTGATTTTTCATTAATGTTATTTGTTTCGCTACAGAGTAGACTTTAAAAGGTAATGAGGATAGCATTATTCATATCGTTTTACCCCATTGATTTACAAATAAGGAATCTTATTAAAATGTGGAATCCCGTTGTTAACTGATTCCCAAAATTTTCCAAGCTCACAACTATTGCTACAAATGCATTAGCTAGGTGATTACCATTACATAAACATTGATTACCACAATAATAAAGTAGAACCTAGACCTCTGTTCAAGTTGACTAGATAGCAAAGTGGATTGTAGCTCAGTGTATAAAATAGTGAAGCCCCGACAACATTACATAACCATAACCCCTGTGAAGCAGTTGAGCTGTTCATTTGTGGGGAATATTGTGTATTGTCCATACATCCATACATCAACTGCAACACGAGTTTAAATTCCCCCACCGCAGAAAACCTGCAGACTACGCCAATTTCCTTTTGTCTGATTGGATTTTAAATAAAATATTTCCTGGAAATTCTCATATTCCCTATTTAAAAAACAATTATTTTGAAGTACTTAGCTTTGCTGACACAAGGAAGGTTATAAAGTGTGTTATTAGTAAAATTTTGATAGAATGGTATGAAACAAATAAATTTTCCAAATTTTACCAAACTATAGATACTCATGAACAAGTAAGTTACTTAACAGTTAACTTAAATCCTCCATAGGAATAACATAGGAATTCCAAATTTAGAGTTGTTGGCATTTCCTTCATAGTCTTCACTTATTGTACAACAATACTTAATTATAAAAAATATTTGTATTTTAAGTTTTTAAGCTCAACAAAAAATAATAGAAAGTAATTGCAAAATTGAATGTGTGATTGTCAAATAAAAAAAAGAAGATTTTTACCCCAAAAAAATTTAGTCCCATCACTCCCATATCTCACTTAATGTTCGATATAGTTTTTATATTTTATTCAGTTATTATCTGTGATAACTCTTTGTAAACATATAATTAACTAAGTATTTATTCAAAGATTTTGTGATCGTCTTATTTGTTTATTATTTGTAGCCGACAATTGGCACGGGTTCTATGAGACGTTATCAATGACATGTTGTTTACATGTTTTAGAACTTGGTACAATTTCAAACTTCAATATAAATACTTAACTTTTGTTTAAATTAAAACAAAACAAAACGACAATACAGTATGATTTGATAACATATCAAATTATTAATTATGAGGGTTTATGATTCATGGCCTCTTTCTACATTTCTTCAAATATTTTATGGATTTTTTATGATAGGACTAACAGGAAGTTTAACATTTTAAAAGTCAAAATCACATTGGAAGCTGGCATGCGCTGAGCAGTCTAGTGGTCTGGCCAGCTGGCGATGGACTAGTAAGACCATCCACAGTTCACTAACCTACACAACACACCTGTTCTGTGCTCTACTAGTCATATTTCTTACGTTAATGCTATTTGTTTAACTTCTCACAATGGTAATGTCACTTTATAATTGTTTCTTCTCCCACTGCTTAGGTAATAAATAAATAAAAATATAAATATGATAAATAAATAAAATGTCATGATTATGGTGTTTCTCTGGTTGAAAACTTGGTGGAAATACTGTACTATCGATAAAATCTAGAATCTACTACATTATTTAGTATGGTCGTAAAAACAGTAATGATCAATATTTTGTAAACAATTTAAATTGAAAGCATTTCAGTGACAGTTTGTAGAAAGAACCTTTTTCAAAACAGCTGATTCATTAAAACATTAAAACTTGAGAATTTTTACAATGGATAATTCAACTACTGTATGTCATCTTTAAATCAGAAAACCAGCTGTTAGTTAAACCAAATTGAATTGAAACAATCTTAAGCGTCAGCTGCTATACTTTAAAAAATCTCCCTTTTAACAGCAGAATCATGAAAATCCGTCCAGTGTTTGATTCAACATATTTTGACAATAAAGAACCCTTCACGTTTTAATATATAAGATGATACAGCGACAGTAATTCAATCCGATTGTACAAATAAGCTGTAAAATTTCCATTCTATAAATAGAAAAGTGTCAAAGACGAAAAGACAATCATTATAAGTGCATTTTTATATTACTCTTCAATTTAGTTTCTGGTAAACACTATCTTCACTAAACTCACTCTTATCTCGACACTTTCCAAACATGAACAGATTTAAAGCACTTATATTGGCTAATTGACTGATTACCTACTTCAAAATAAGTTTAACTTTCCTGTAAATCTAGAGTAAGTGTTAAAACTCAATTTTAGATTATATATTTAGAAATTTATAAACAAGTTTTACTTCATTGATTATTCTGAAACAAGGATAGCGATACTTTAAAAGAAGTTATTGAAAACATGCTGGTCCAAATGATTTAAGGACAGCTAGTGTCACTGACACTCCAATTTAAAATACTTAAGATGGCTTATGGACACTCTGTTGCATACTGTAATGAACCTGGAATGGAAGTGTGACCAAGACGCCAAAGGATTTCCTTCTACAGCTGTTGGAATCCAACAAGACTCTGAGCATAAAAGAGGTAAAAAAATGTGAATATTGAAGCGTTCTTCTTATACCTAAAAGAATTATTTAAATATTACATAACTTACTACTGTAATATGGCATAATTTCATTGACATATCTAGTAAATAAATATAATCATATTCCATCCCAAAATTCATTACAATCACAAATTTAGCTGAAAACAATTTGGTTGGGAAAATACTAGTACAGTAGAAGAACCTTGATAACAAGACTATCAAGATTGACGGGATTCTTAATAAGGCTTTTTATCAAGGTTTCAACTTTTTATCGAGGTTTCATTAAGATGTGATTAGGGGCGATTTGAATACATTTACTATAAGGGACCTGTTTTTGTTGAGATCGAGACTACTTTGAAAAAGGACTTGTTATCGAGGTTCTACTGTACAAACATTTACAATGACACGATGCATTAGGGAGTGATCAACTGAAAGTGTGTATCAGTAATGTGGCAATCGCAACGTGTACACTACAGTATAATTATACACAACATACTGCCTCCACCTTGTCGACCCACTTGGGGTGTTGCAACGCTGGACTTATGCACAATAAACAATTTATCTGCATTCGACCCTACTGCGCCTACCTCTCGCTGATCTGGGTGGAGACTACGTTTGTCACAGGCAAATATTTACTGTAGCACTAATAAAATGTATTTTGACAGTCCACAGGAATTATTTTTAAGTGGATTTTACGATCTTGATCAAGAGTAGTTTAAATATTTGTTTTGTTTTCTTTAAAAAGCTATAGCTTCAAAAAATATTTAAAAAATACAAAAATGCTGGTTTAATCTCAGATATATACACGTACTCAGATTCATGGAATAATTTCCCCCACTTTTTCTGGTATAAAAATTTGTAATTTTGCAACACTGATTTTTATACTTTAGCCTATATTAGGTCCTGATTTTATGCAAAAAATACTTTCTCATCTATTCTCAGAAGTTTTTTTTTCACATAGGCCTACCGGTATTTAAAAAAGTGAAAAATACAAGTTTCAAAAACCACTTAACCTTCAAGAACAGCTAAAAACTGAAATAATCTGATACATATACCGTTCATAAAACGCGTTACGAAAGCGATGTGAACGCGAGACATACGGAAGCAGGTCGCAGAGAATATTGGTGGCGTGTCCGGTCATTCGCAAACCAAACCGGTCCAAGTCTGGACACACCCACTTGGCAAATGTCAGCTGAACCGAACGCCTTGGTGTAGAGTGCAGATCAAGTAATTAGGCCTACACTAGACCAGACCTCGGACCAAATCATTGCATCGGTTAGTAAAAAGTGTTTAACAAGAAAGTAATCATTGTCATTATATTGTTGTTACAGACCTATTTAAACCGGGTTGGAGGTCCACCAATTTTTTTAAAATGCTGCAATGCAATATTAAATTGAATACTACAGTTAAGAAGTTGTCTAAATAATGTTTGTATCTTCGAAGCAGTAAACTGTCCGTAATGACCAATACAACAAAGTTCAAGCATAGTTGAGGTTAAAAAATTAATTATTTTCCAATTTTCAAAAGATCATTTGGTTTGAAAGGGCACCAATATTGTATATTAAAGTAAACAAATATTTAATATAATTTTGCAATCATACATGATTAAGAAGCAAACCCCATCCCTCTCAAAATTATACAGAACAAGCGCAGAGATTTATTTGTAAATACGAGTACGGTAATATAATGTTTGAGTGTCAATATGTGGAAAGATATACAATAATTAGATGAGACCGACAAATGAATGTGAACTTAAATTCTGGTAACAAAAATAATTGTCTAGTAACACTATGCATTACACAAACTCCCTTTTAGATTCATCATGTAAAGTTTGTTGAGTGTTAAAAAAACTATGTTTCTTGTTATTTCACTTGTATTTAAAAACAATTTTATCCAAATATAATTTATAAACAATAGCTAGCTCATCCATTGGTTTTATAACCTCACAGTAAAGCACAAATCACAGTATCAGAAAGAAAAAATTATTTTGTAAACACCAGCGCTCAACATTACCAACATGAAACACACATAAAAACAAGTTTCAGACTCCAAAATAGGACGAGAAGTCTACTTTGTAGATGTATAGGCCTATTGTAAAATTTGTTGACCGCCATCGTACATGCTTAAGCGAAAGCTGGTATCAAGTACATTCACGATAGCCACAAGATATGGACCATAATAAATAAAAACGCCTTCCCAAGCGAATAAACAATATTTAGCTCTAATTCGACAAAATTGAGGTGAAAATCGTTTTTTTTTCCTGTAACACCTGTACGATTTCAACACGGAACTACTTTCAATTAGAATCTTATATAATTATTTTGCGATTAGCTCGTAAACCGAAACCATTTAAAGTCTTATTTCGCAATGACAAACCGAAACCATTTAAAGTCTGATTTCGCAATGACAACCTTTATTAACGGAATATTAATTTGCACTCACCTCGTAAAAGACACTGTAATGAGCAGTTTGCTCACTCGACAAAAACTGGTCGCACCCAAATCACTCTGAACAAAACCTGTAAAATAAGAGCGAGGTGAAAATTAAATGAATAAAAGAATGTGCACCTAATAGTAGCCTAACTCTTTTATCAAAAGTATCCATTTGACAAACATGAGTAATAAATCATTATAATTAATTTTATTCAAATCCAGATCAAGCCTTGAAATATTTATTAAGACAAAGGGAAGGGTTAAACACTTTTAACCCTTTGAGGTAGATTTTTTCGGCGATTATAGGTCGCTGTTATATATGCTGTATTGGTTTAACCTATAGTCAATGGTTTAACTTACTGGTTTCAAATTGCCAGCTGTTGTCAATGTTAATATTGTATGCTTACTAATAATTAAAACACATGTTATTAATTTAAAGGAGAGAATGTAAACAAATGAGTTGAGTTTGTTGGCTTATAAAGAAGATGTTAGTAAAATGGTTCAAATAAATTATTGTCACTGCTTTCACTGAGTACTCATTGTTTTTTGTCAGTTTATTCGTAACAGTCGCCATTCGAGCAGTCAAGGGTTAATAACATGGAGAGCAAATTAACAGCTGTAACCATTTCTACCTCAGCCATAAATTTTCACTGTTGGCTTCAACGATAATGATTCCAAAACTTTGATATTTATTACAGAAACACTAGATCCTATAGGAAATATTATTTAAGATTTTCCTACATCCCAGATGTACCTATCTATTTAGTATCTCAAGGTGATAACAGATAAACAAATTGCAACACAAAGATTCGATCCAACATAAAATACTACAAGGGATTAGGAAGCCTTTCCCTGGACTGATCTGATGAGAGAAAGTGGGTTACAAAGAGCAAACATGTTTGTATCTAGAATGTGCGCCCTCGGCGACAATCTACACTCCACACGGCTCTCGCACTCATCCACCCATGTTGGGGAAGTTCCGTGGCAAAACAATACGGGTAATGTTTACCAACATGATCAGGAACTAGATCTGACCAGAGTGAGGATTGGTTAGGTTTGGACAGATTAGTTAGGTTCAGTGATGTAGAATTGGGTCTCGATAAGTTAGGATGGGTAAGGATAGGTTAGGTTGGTTGATAATCCAATTTCAAATGTCATAGGTGATGAAAAAGAAAGAATTTTAATATTACAAAAACACAATAAAATCTTTGGAATTTTCTCTGTAACTACAAGGATTTACTCGCTACAACGCATTAAAAAAATAAACAAAAACATTTGCTACATAAAGGCTGTGATTAATATTTAGCGTTTCTATGATTAACCACTAAAAGTTTTTTAAAACCCAATTTAAAAAAAATTTCTACACCCCATAACATTTTTATTAAGCAATCTTGCTGGTTCTCCAAGTATATATATCTAACCCTACTTAGTCATGCCAAATTTCATCAAAATTGGACCAAACTCACTTAGCAGCCTACAAGGGTTTTGTAAGATAAATTACGAAACTAAAAAAAACCTAACACTCAAAGAATGGGGAAAATCATTCAAGGTGTTGCTAAACAAACGTTCACTTGAATGTGAATTGGTTCTAGATAACGGGGAAACTCAAACTTACAAATGATAACAAGTTTCATTGATTCAAGGCCGTGATGGAAATCAACAAGTTATTTTGTACATGTAATTGGCTGGCAGACTCACATTACATGCTGGATGTCAAAACACAGCCCTGGCTGCTAAACACAGGTGACTCGTAGACAATTAGCAGGGACAACAGAACAACTGTTGTATTATTTAGTACCAGTGTATACGCGCAGATGAAAATACCTTATGTACCGACAACGTGATAGATTATTCAATATCCTAGGATAAATAGGGTGTGTTACTAGCGTAGTGGTTAGCGTCTTGGACTTCAGTGCGGGTTAGATTCCCTACAAAGTATATGGGTTAGGATAGTTTTACAAAATTATATACTCTCGTTTTCATCTCCTCTAAAAAATGCCAACGGCGTTCAAAAAAGTGGTTTTGGTTAACAAATGCACAGGAAAGGTAAATCAAATACCCCCCTGGGCGTTTAAAGTACTTAGAATTTTTGAGCGTTGATAGCTGATAATATAATATGCAGCCTAAACAACAGTACAAGCAAGTATGCCAACGTCTACACACATCCATCTTCACTCGATAAACCTAAATACTGAGTTTAGAGGGAACACCATATTTTGTCCGTGAAACAGCTTAAATAATGTTCAGCGAACGTTCATTGAAAGTTTTTTTTTTAGTTCGGCGCACAAACGTATATGTTTGTCGGGAACGTTCGCAAAGTGTGGATGCAGCTATACTTAAACACGACATATGACTAATGCCAAAAATGTGGAAAAAATACAACGTTTTTTACTTTCTCTTGTTGCACAAACAGGAAATAAAAAATATTTCATAATCCAGTTAAAGTATTACAATATTTTGCCATGTTATTTACCAAATACAGAGAAAAATGAAGATAGGGAGAAAAACTAATGTGACAGTGGTTAAATTTAGGTTCAAAATTATCTCAAGATGAAATAAACGCACCAGAGAAAAGTAACACAGGCAGAAATAGTCGTTTACGAGTAAGGGTACGAGAAAAGTGATCACCAGGAATAGATCACTGAGAGTGACAACGAGCCAAATACCCTGCATAACACAACACTAACAATACTAAAACTATGATTACTCACTTCTCACTTCAGAATAGTTACGTTAGTCAGATAGTGAACCTGTTGAAGTAGTGACTGTGAGGGTGCAACTAGTGTCCACTTTTATGAGCCCACATCACTAACTAATAAATAACTAATCAAAAGGTTGACTCGGGAAAACAAACTGATAAGCTTAAATGTAACAATGGACACATATTCAATATTTTAAATACAATTAATTAAAACCCTATGTTTAAGGCTCGTGTGCTTTTGAGGAGGTTGATTGAAAAAATAATATAATTTTAGAAAATTCCTCATTAAGACTTCGTTTATGTGTACGGTTGACAGATGTGCAGCTTACGGTTATCTCAAAAGTTGGTGTTCCTAATTAACTTTTTAAGTTAGATACAAAAATTATTAGGTAAATAGTTGGTCAGCAACACACCAAGTGATATAATAGTCTCCTAGTTGGAGAAGGATGTTGAATGTTTCAAGGTCAATGGCCTGAGTTTTATTTTGTTTTGCTGCCCACTCAATCGGAGAGGTGCCAAGAAAACCTAGCCTCACTTAACCTCGATTTTATCAAATTTCCCCAACAGGGAATTATCTATAATCGTAAGTCTCATGGTAAGACCTACCCAGACCCGATTTACTTTTGATGTCCGCAGAGGGCAAAAGTACAATCCAATTTCATACCGTACATTTTTGTATAGCCTAGTATGTTTGTGTGTCTTAAAGAGTGTCTGTTAACACGATAACTCGAGTAAAAACAATTTGAATTTAATTCAATTTTGTACAAACTTGTAAACCTACGTTTATTCTAACAGGTTTGCTAACAAGAATGATCGGACTATAGAAACGGGGTTTTATAAGGGTACTACAAGGTAAAAATCTTCATTTTTTATACTCAAAATAAAAAATTTTTGCATTTTTTTCTAAACTATTTTGTAAAGCTTCAAACAGCGAATAATTTAGTATATTAAAGTGTTTTGTACGCTTATTGGCTACAAAACTAAACATAAAAACCTGTAAATTAAAATTAGAAGTTAATGTTAAGTATACAGGTAAGGAATAAACTGTAGCCTAGTAGTTTGTTTGCTTAGGGATGTATTTAAATCAAATCTATTTATTTCATACTAAGCTATATGATGAACACTTTTTTCCTAACCTGCATCAGCGAACCTTTGTGCTCAAAAAAACTACTTTGGTTTGAATGTGGAATGAATCTGACATGTTTAGGGAAATATTCTAGAGAACATTCTAAATCAATTAAATGGAAATTTGCTAAACCGTAGATTTGCTACAACAGCATTACTGAAAAGCCTACTAAAATTTAACCTTCCAGAGGTCGCATCACGGAAGTAACCTCCGGGGATGTTTTATTTTTCGTGATTATATTATTTTGAGTGGTATCGGCAGTGTGAGTGTCACTGTACCTCACGCACCTCATTCCTAGAATAGAGTGAAGGTCAAAACTCACCCCTACTATTTTATATTTGTTAGTTTTGTTCAGTTTTGTAAGAGGCTGGAAGTAACTTCCGTGTGCGCTCTGCCGATTCTCGTACAGCCTGGAGGCAACTTCCGTGATGCGACCTCTAAGATTAGTGTGTGCGTTGATTATTGCGTGTAAACTATTACTGTAAATAATTATTTTTTTACGATTCATGTCATTATTAAGTAAATATATAGTTTTTACAAGATGACAGAAGAAGTTAAATTTCGAATTGCAACACTCTTAGCCATGCTGAAAGGGAGATTCACGAACGACGTATGTACAGAGCCATTTAGTATTAAGATACCCATTATCTTAAATTACTTAAAACATCAGGTATTGAGAGTGTCATAAATTAAAACCACATTATGGAACATTGTGGTAAAATTTAAATTAACTTGTTGAATATATTCTTGTAAAAGATTTCTTCATATACTTTTATGTTAGAAAATTTGATAGAATAATAGTTTAATTTTATATTTTTAAAATCTAAATTAAATTATTGTACAATTAAGAGTTCACTAAACATATTTTTGATGTTTAAAATTAAAAATAAAACTTAATTTGTATACTAAAATACAAATTTTACTTCATAAATCTTTGTTTTTATTGACCCGGAAGTAACCTCCGGGTGCGCCCTCTCCCGTTTTAAAAACCAATGCGCCCTCTGAAAGGTTAAGGACCAATCACGAAATTCAACATTCCCCACTGGGTCACTTCAACAATTACACAACCTTGCTTTAACATTCCAGTAGACAGCCTTGTCTACACAAGGTGCTGCCTTGCTCACAAATTCTCCAAAACTATTAATCCTTTCCAATTCTCCCTGTTCCACATGCATGAATGCCAAACTGTTGTCAAGGCCTAACATGCATAACTTGACTGATTCATGCTATACTTTGAATTAAATTACGTTTAAGCACCA